TGTTAAAATTAATTTGCATTTCAGACCTCTAGATTTTATATTGCCATTAGGGTTGTGAAATGTTTTTACTCAGCACAACTAAGAACTGATGTTTTACCTCCCACTAATGGACCTTTAATTAGGCACTGTAATGAACCATTCTGTCATCCCTTCATTTATAGAGAGAGGTTTTGTATATGTAAGATACAATTTTGACAGAACACCAGGTCCGTAGAACCTTGCCAGCTCACATATAATAGATCCTAAATTCATTATGCTTTTGTCAGCTACTGGATTTATCATTTTAATGACACTGTCCACAGACTTATTTTGCTGCCAAAGAATAGCATCACCATACTTCAGGAATGTTTGTTGACATCTTGATCAACAACTCCTGGGGTCCAATTCTGACTATAATATCACTACTTCGGGACCTTGAGCAAGTTATTTAACCTCTGTCGAAGGATTAATTGGTTAATTTTAATAAGTGCTTTACAGTGAAAGGTGGGAAGTGCTATGACTGCTGATAGTGATGATAAAATTATAATGTAGGCTTTTAGAATGCATTAAGCTTCTTCAGACTGTGATTCTGTTAAGTTGCCAAGTAAATATAAGTGGCAGAATTTATTCTTTTTAAGAATTCAAACTGCTATGATGATGGCCTCATAGTATTTTTAAAACTTATTTTTTAAAAAAATGAAGATTATCGGATCCTGATTACATACAGCTTTTGTACATTGAATAGATTGTTCTTTTATTATCTCATCTCCAAACAACCCTCATTTGTTTATTTATGATTATTTTTTTCTCATTTGTTTATCTGAAAAATGCCACTGCTGAGTGTGGTCTCATGGAGGTCAGAATGAGACTAGTCAGAGTGACACAAATCACAACAATACCAGGTAAAGGTGTATAGAGCCAGAAAGAGGTAAAGAGCCAGTGACTTTAAAATTAAGAAGAGAAAGAGATTAGTTCAACCTGAGGGCTAATGTGAACAACTCGTAAAAGGAAATGGTGTTTCAGCTGGAAAGAGATATACAGATAGGATTGGGCATAGAGGGATGAAGGTGAGTAGGAATCCAAAGAAAATGCATTTCAGAGGAAGAGAATAGCATGAGAAAGTCACAATGTCAAGGGAGTTCACATGTAAAGAACTATGATCAGTATGGTTTTATTAGAATAAAAAAGAGGATAGAAAGATAGTTTGGATATTGATGGCCATTTGCATTATTCAGGATAGTAGTTGGTACTGAGCCCATTCAGGACTCTGAGAATAATGGAGCAAGAAAGAAAACTAAGCAAAGCTGTGAGTAGGAAATGGAAGCTGTGTTTGAATACAATGAGAGGAGCGAGAGGAGAGAGTCATGAGGACTGAGCCGCATGTGAGTGGGGTTCCATGCACTTAAATTGACTGTATTTGCCAACGACACTCTGATGGCCTGTGGTGCATATAACTGAAGAGGTAAATTGGGCAAGCAACATGAAAAAGGGCATTGGCTTAGGTTAGTAGCATCTATATTTGCCAAGAAGGGTCTGTCCTAATATGTAGAGAATGTACATATAGAAAAAGAAAGACAAATTTGGAACTAAAGTTACCTCTTTGTTGCTCAAGTAACCCCCTGTTGGAATATCAGATGAAAAATATTTGATACTATGACTTATTCTCAAATAAGGTCCATGCATATACTGGTAACCTGATTCTTTGCTGTTCTGTTACTTTCTACAATGACAGGAGACCTAGTCCACTCGCAGTGAGGTCCTCAATGATATCAAACAATACAGAGACCACAAAGTTAAATAACTTTTAAGGGTGTGGTCCCTGAAGGTAGATTGTCTGGGTTTGAATCCTGGCTTTCCCAATTACTAACACTGTCATCTTCAGGAGGCTCTTTATGCCTCCTCAGTCACCTCCTCTGTAAAATGAGAACAAAAGCAATACTGTGTTCATTAGCTAAATTAAATGAATTGATCAATTAATGCAAAAAAGTATTATGAGAGTTCCTGTATATAAAAAGGTCCCAGTAAATGTGATTGAGATGAAAATCTATTTTAAAAAATTGGAAATTTGGATAGAATGTACAACTGGTTTATGTGGCTGCTCTTTTGAAAATAGATACAGAGGGTATCTATTAGAGATCAAGGACACTACCTAGGAGTAAACGCATAGAAATCAGTCAGTAATAATCCAGATAAGAGATGCGAGTAGCTTCAATAATGGTAGTGAGAATGAAGGTGATGGAAAGTGCCCAGATTTGGGATTTATTTGAAAGGTAAGAGTGAGAATGAAGGTGGAGTATAAAAGAAAGAGGAAAATAAAAAATGACTCCAAGATTCTTGGACTTGGGCGTTTCACTTAATAGACATAAGATAAACTGTGGTAGAGGAGTTTTTAGGTGAGAATATCCGGTTAATTTAGAAATGAGTCAAGCTGTCAAGTAGACATTTAAGTATAAATATCTGCTACTCAAAAGCTAGGTTTAACTGGATACATAAATTTGGAACTATTGATAGTTGGATGGTAAAAAAAGGCTATGCAATTAGTTGAAATTATCCAGTCAGTGGGTCTTATCTTTAAAACATTTGGAAAACTTTAAATAATATAGATGTCCCATTATAGGCAAAGAGAATCAAAATCATAGGTGGTGCTTGGGAAACTATATTTTAGCGATCTTCAACCTTCTTCATCTTGTGGCACACATGAACTAATTACTAAAATTCCGTGGCACATCAAAACATATATTTTTGGCCCTAAGTGGTTTGGCTCAGTGGATAGAGCGTCAGCCTGAGGACTGAAGGGTCCCAGGTTCAATTCCAGTCAAGGCATGTACCTTGGTTGTGGGCACAACCCTGGTGGGGAGCCAGTTTGGCTCAGTGGATGGAATGTCAGCATTTGGACTAATGGGTCCCAAGTTCAATTCTGTCAAAGGGCACATGCCGGGGCTGGGGTGATGGTTATGGGCTCGATCCCCAAGTTAATTTAGAAAATTAACTGATCAATGATTCTCTTTCACCATTGAAGTTTCTATCTCTCCCTCTCCCTTCCTCTCTGAAATCAATAAAAATATAATTATATATATATTTTTTGCCAATATATTTTATATTACTTTTTATTTTTTACCAATCTGACAAAAAAAATAGGTATAATTTTGAATCATTCACACTGAACAGCTATTGTGTTGGCTGTTGTCTTTTTTTTTTTTTTTCCAATTGGACAATCTAAAGCAGTGGTTCTCAACCTTCTGGCCCTTTAAATACAGTTCCTCATGTTGTGCCCAAACCATAACATTATTTTCGTTGCTACTTCATAACTGTAATGTTGCTACTGTTATGAATTGTAATGTAAATTATCTGACATACAGGATAGTCTTAGGTGACCCCTGTGAAATGGTCGATCACCGCCAAAGGGGTCGTGACCCATAGGTTGAAAACCACTGATCTAAGGGAAAAGAGGTCAGAGCCCTTAACTAAATAGTCAGGTATTGTATGTTTCATTGGGTGAAAATCACTGCTATATTTTATTAAACCTGTTGAGGTCTTTCTAATGTGCAGATTTTGACAGAAGTCACAGGCTCAAGGAGTGAGTATATAGATACTAATAATATAATAATAAAAGGGTAATATGCTAATTAGACCAGATGTCCTTCTGACGAAGCCGGGGCAGGAGAGAAGCAGCCTGGGTCCCAGGTGCCTGCCAGTGGCCAGAGGGAAGCCGATGCCGGCAGGCAGTGGAAGGAAGGCCTACTCTTGCACGAATTTTTGTGCATCAGGCCTCTAGTTTTAGAATAAAAAGAAATATGAGGGCAGAGTCACAAGTAACATCAATATTTAAAGGTCAGGGAGAAAAGGAGGAATCAGCAAAAACAAAACAAAAAACCCTGCGAAGAAACAGCCAGTAAAACTGGCATGAAAATAAGAGATTAGTAAAAATAAAGACAAGCAAATTAGGTGTTTTAGGAGGAAATGATTAAGTGCTGACTGTAGAGGTAAAATAGGAATTGAAAAATGACCACTGGGTATAAAAACATGAATAACATGAAAATAAATTAGTTGACTTGATAAAAGATGTTTCAGCAGAATAGTGAAGATAAAAAGCCAACAGAGATAGAGTCAAAAGAAAAATAGAGGAATTGGAGAATATAACAACTCTTAAAAGCAATGCTACTATTAAAAAAAAATAAGTAAATTAATAAAGTTGTAGCTAGAAAGGGATGTGGTCACAAGGTAAGGTTTTTAAAGAAAAAAGTGACAACCAATTAGAAAAGAAAACATTGATAAAGCAAGAGGAAGGAGGGTCAGTGGTAAGAGATGTGTCCATGAGTAGCTACACGTAAATAGCGTATGAGTGAGTAGTGTAGCATTAGACATAGCATAGGGTTCCTCTCCACGAGAAGAAAGACAGTGTGTGTGGATATAGAGTAAAGTAGGTTGAGGGGTGTGGAGGTGGTAACTTGTGGCCATTCTCTTTAGACAGCTGTCTTTAGCTGAGAGTAAAGTTGGGGAGCAGGTACTGGAGGTTTGAGGAGAAAGGAGAGAATATGACATAGACATTTAGGAGAGTCAATTGATTAGTGAAATACACTAAGAAGCCATAGTAAGTATCCATTTGAGATTAGTGATAAAAAACAACAACACTCAACTAAGACCAGTGTATATGGTTATGTGTTTTCCTTCAGTTGCATTTAGCAACAGGGCACCAGTTCAGGAAAGAGGGAACATTGGACTTAACCATGTTATGAATTTCCAGGAAAAGCAACACCAGAGAAGAGGGAGTCGAGGAGGATACCAGGGAATGATTATAATGATAGGCTATGGAACCTAAGCTGGAGAAGGAAGAAGCAAAGACTCTTTAAGAGAAGGATGAAGAACAATGTAAAGAATTATTGGAGTTGAGGTGACTCAGGGGCTGAAACTGAAAAATGGGGTGGCTGGGACTGAGATCATGTAGCAAATACAGTACAGGTAACAAGGAAGCTTCTTCATGTAAACATTAGTGCATGCTGCCTGGTGCGGCTCTGACTCACAGTCCTGGCATCTGTCCCCCGTGTGTTCAGGCGGGCAGTGGCAGGAAGGCTGGTTCCCAGCAGTCACGCTGCAGGTCCCTTCGTTCTGACAAAAGTCCTCACAGACCATCTTGCCACAGTTTGGTCCAGTGAATCCCAGCGCACAGCGGCAGGTGGGTCTCCCTATTGGAAAAATGTAATAAAAAAGAAATTACTGAACTAAAATGGTTTATTTTCATGGAGTCTTCACTAGATAAGAATCAGGATGCCAGAGTTGCCGTCAAAGTTGCTCTCTTACTTAAATCTGTGACTTGAGGCAGTAATTTGACCTCTTTGGGTCTGTTTCCCAATGTTCCCATGATGCCTAGATTCCATGATAACGCAGGTTCACACCTAGCCAAATTAGCAGAGCTCATTTTATACATAATTATATATTCACAGAAATATGTTATGCTTTAAAGTGCTTTCATTATTCTCTGTATTCTCTTTCCTGGCCCATTTTGCCTTTTCAATTATGTTTGCTCTATTCATGTGGTAATGCAGATTGTATTGGCCATTAGAAGATAACGTAGAGAAAATTATATTTCCCTGTGTTGATTCATGTACCAACTGTTGCTGGATCTACATAAAATAGAGCTTAGACTTATTATAAATAAATATTTTAATAAATTCAAAGTGGACATGTCATCTATACTAATATTTATGAATGTTATTTTATTTGATTTAAATACACATACTGTGTTTAGGTATAAGCACTTACACACTCCTATTTTATTTCATTTTGATATTTTTCTTCATAGTAAGGACTGTCACTTCTAGTCTGGTAAGATGATTTAGAAATCTAATGTTAACAGTATACAATAGCAAATCTGATGGATCATCTTTAGATATTTTTCTTTATTTGCACTGTGGGAACTAACATCGCAATGAAAGCTGAACAATCCTTTAAGGTGTTTTGAACATAACAGTTAACTGCTATATCAGGAATGAGTCTCTCTAACTGCCTGGACTGTCAAGAACTGAGTAGAAAATTGAGTGCAGAACTAGCTCTGTAGATGTGGTGAACAAAACAAAACTAAATTAATGGGTATCATTTGTAAGGGGGGAAGAATGAGGTTTACACATTGCACAAATATAAAATAACATCAAATAGCATAAGAAAGAAATTCAGTTATAGATCTCAATGAACTAGAACTCAGAAAATGACACAGGGTTGCTAACATCAGAGAATATCCAAAAATCTCCTCTTGCTTTTGTAGAAATAAAGCATAGTTAGAGTGGCCAGAAAAATGCATGAATGTAATGCTTAAGGCTTGAGGTATGAAAGTGATATGTTTTTCTTTATTGCCATAGATTCTATATTCTACAATGAAGGACAATTCTATGTTTCTACTTTTTTTGAAAAGCATTCTTAGGTGAATAAAATGTCTCCAAATAAAATCTACCCGCATTTCCAAGAAAAGGAATAAATTGAAGTTTCACAATTTACTTATTTAGTTTACTTTGAAAGGGCTCCACACACTTAAACATGCTAGAAGCTATTGCTTCTCGATGAAGAAAATTATATACATTTTTATGTTGAGTAGTATTGCTTTACAATTTTTTATAATGATATTAGTCTAGTGGCTACATAAATGCCTAATAATAGGTTGAAAAACAAGATAAATTTTATATACATTAAAAGCTGATTAACCTTGAAGTTTTCATTACCAGAACATGGCTTTAAAACTTGTAGATAAAGATTTTTCTTATAATGGTAGTGAATTTTCTAGTTGTTGATTACATACCTAGAAAATATCTTCACAAACAAAAACAGGTGAAACATAAAGACACAAACAATAGAATAAATGGTGGTAGGAAGATAAAGAAAATAGTTATTGTTGGAGCACAGTTACCAGGGAAAATGGAAACCCTGAACAAAAGAAGGGATACCTCTTCATCTACAAGAACCAGAGAATGACTTATAGAGAAATAAAAAATACAAACAGGAACACATACCGGAGTTAAATGTGAAACACACAGTACAGAAAATACAGAAGAAATTGATTGCATTAGAACAACTAGAACAAGTGCATACAGAGAACTGAAACACTGTAGATTTAAACTTTTCTTCATTACTTTCCAGTTTATTATTCCTTGTTTTTAAAAATTGGGAGTGAAAAGAGTAAAATGATAGAAGTTTGAAAGAAACAAACACAGGCTGCTAAGGCGCCTGCAAATCCCTCTATCCCCGCCACTCAGAGACACAACACCCTGTTTTCATCTCATCTACAGCTGTTTGGAAAATAAGGCAGAGTGATTTTTAAAAGGCTCCCATTCCTCTTCCTTTGAAGAGAAGATTTATTTTTGACAAGTAGAAATCTCTTCATATTCAGGGGGATGTTCTCTAACTTGAGAGAAACTAGGCGATGGTACAGCAGATCGTTTGTTTGCTGATGAGAAATGGACCATCTGTTGTAGAATTTTGTCATGGGCTCCATCTAATTTTTTCAAGACTCTCTCTGGGTACACCCGTACAAGTGGCGCTGGGTTCATTTGGAAAGGTTTTTAGGTGGCTGGATTTGATTTTGACATTTGAAAAGGAAACAGCACAGTTACAATGACTAAGGCACAGCCGGGAGCTGGAGCGTTGGCAGCCTTCAAGGGTAGCACAAGCAGGAAGAGCACCGATTGACCCGAGGAAGGGGCGTAGGAGCCATTTGCTAGCTCTAATAGTCTAGTTTCTATAGCATTTTTAGCTCAGACTGAGGAGCGTAGGTTGTTTGACTGTCAGTGTTTATAAACTGTATGTGCCAATTACTGGTTGTGAGACCATGGGCAAATATCGCCTCTCTGCTTATTTCCTTGTGTGTAAAAAGTGGATAGTAACAGTACCTACCTCATGAGTTATTGTGTAAAATTATATAGAATAAATGAGATAATATATGCAGAGCATTTTTAACTGTGTTAGATGTATAGAAAGCACTGTTACATTTTAGATATGATTATTCTTATTTTACTGAGTGACATTCACCATTTATAGGCATGACTGACTGTGTCTACCAAGGTACTGTAACAATCTAGGAAAATTATTCTGAAAATGTTCTTAACGTACACATTTTATGCCATTATTTATTTAAGATAAAATTAAATTTTAAATGTGTTTGCATTGTAGTGATGGGATAGAGCAGAAATTCCCCATTAACTTTATTCTCAGACTGCAACATTTCAAACTTTGAAGGATGGTTCCTTCTCCTTTACCTTCTAAATATGCTTAACCCTACTCACACAATACACACATAACAAAAAAGCACACCTAACCTTTGTCATGTGCTTCTACTTATACTACTTCAAATTTTGGTACATCCTTGAACTTTTTCAAAAGAAATCTACACTCACTGCTTCCAATTCTACCAATACATGACCAAACAACAACACACAAAAACAAACAATCAAAAAAAGGTCATAAAGTCACATTCCAATCCCTCAGAGGGTTTACAGTTTTAATTTTTTTTTTAATATACAAAATAATGTGTCTTAATTGGTTAGTTCTCTTTGTTTTCTCAATAGAGAGGGCAGGTTTTTCAATATTGCTCAAGTAAGTTAATTTTCATTCTCTAGTGGTAAGAAAGGTTTAGAAATGAAGAAGTTAACATGCAGTATTGTCTTTACTATATATTTATGTACTATTGCAATGTTTACCTCAAATCTCTTAGTCCATAAATCAATTAATTTCTTCTCAATTATTATTGTCCTCAATTTTTCTTCATAATTTTACACTGTTTAACAGATATCCTTGAAAATTCTACCCACTTGGCCTCTAAGACACTATTATTGACTTCCCTATCTTTTTATTTATTCTTTTTTATTTTATTTTTTATATATTTTATTGATTTTTTACAGAGAGGAAAGGAGAGAGATAGTTAGAAACATCGATGAGAGAGAAACATCGATCAGCTGTCTCCTGCACATCCCCCACTGGGGAAGTGCCCGCAACCCAGGTACATGCCCTTGACCGGAATCGAACCCAAGACCTTTCAGTCCGCAGGCCGATGCTCTATCCACTGAGCCAAACCGGTTTCGGCTATCTATTCTTTTTTAAAAACACCAATTGTCTTTATGTTTACTATTTCTGTCTCTCAAAGAAATATTATTCCAAACTCTCTCTGGTGATATTATCCAACTTTATGGCTTCAATAATTATCTCTGTATCTGAATACCTCTGACCCAATTTTCTGATTATGGGCTCATTCTCCATACTAAACTTAAGACCATCATTCTCACTCTTTATTGTATATCTCTCGCTGCTCAGTAGGTTCAACTCCTCCCACAATCCCCAAGAGATAAAAATTTTGTCATGAACATTGTTCTCTGGGGATACACAATTTTTAATGCTATAACATTTGCTTTTATATATGCTACATTTTATATATTAACTATTTGAATTCTAATTTTATCTCCAATTTATATTATAAATAACACTATATTGAACATTTCACACCCAAATCCTATATAATGAAAGCCTAATATGCAAATTGTTCAACTGCTCACTATGACATGTGCTGACCACCAGGGTGCGGCATAGAACATGGCGGGCCTCGGTGACACAGTGCTGGAAGCGGGTGGCAGTGGAGGTGCTGCCAGCCCCAATGGGCCCAACAAGAGTGGGACCATGGTGGGATGGTGGAGTAGGTGAGCAGGCAGCACCAGGCCAAGGTGGGTACGAGCGGGGATCCGATTGCCCTGCCGATCACCCCGCAGACAGCAACCAGTGGCAGTGGTGGGGGTGGGGCCACCACTGGGCTCCCAGGCACTGAGGGAGTCATGCGGGGGGCCTGACCCTGATTGATCGCCCCACAGGCAGGATGGTGGAGCAGGTGAGGGGGTGGCGCCAGGCCACAGCAGGGTGCCAAGCAGGGTTGCAAGGCTGGGGGCATGAGCTAGGGGCATGAGCTGGGGCCCAATCCCCACAGGCCACCCTGAGGGGCCCCACCCATGCACAGATTTGTGTACCGGGCCTCTAGTATTGTACCAGTATAATCCTTAGGATATGTTTGTAACAGTGACATTATTAAGTGAAAAGGCATTAAAACTTTGAAAGGTTTATACCATGAACATTTTCTTCTGGTAGTGACTTAAGAATGCTGATGTCATCTATGTCTGACTAGGCTCCTCCTCCACTTCCTCATTCTCAATTATTTTTC